GTCATTATTGTCATAAGTACCACCATCATTTCCCTAATACTACCATCGCTACCACCACTGCCACCGCTACCACTACCGCCACTACCACCACCACCACCACCACCATCACAATATAAAAATTGAAATATACAATTTGAAAATAATAAATTTTAAATTTGATCTTATACATATCAAATAACTTATTTTTAGTTCAGCACTTAAATTTTTATCAAATAACTCTTTAGTTTAAAAAATTCACCATTCAATTTTTAGTACTTAATTTCCAGTCTTCAGTTTTTCAATTTTCAACTTTACCAAACTCCACCTAATATTATAAATCCACCCTTATCTACCTAAAAATTAATCTCCACCACACCTTACATAAACCCCATATAAACCCCACACTATACAAATTAATCTCCACCACACAATCACCCACCCAAAAAATTCTAGATGAATAAGTCAGGTTAGCAAACTTTCTCAAAACATAATTGCTTAAGAAGCACAATCTAACAAAATTAGATTAAGCTCCAAGCAAATCAAGAGAGAATTCCAAGCCAAGCCAAACAAACACTACTAAAACAAAATGAATACACCCAAAACCACACCTACGCACTTAATTCAAGACTTCTGCAACTAACCAAAGCAATAGAACACCAACATACTAAAACTCAAGATGAACACCAGAAAGCCTCACATGAGCAAACCGCCGAAAAAATGGCCAATAGAAACGGAGCAATTGTCCAGCAAAGACTACTAAAATGTAAGGTTCAATTCGAACAACTCAAGTCCAATTCAAATTTTTTTAGGATTTGGATAAGATATTTTTGAATTTGGTACGAGCTAGGACAAAAATTTAAAAGTCTGAATTAAATTTAGATAGACTTGTACAAAGACATCAAACAATTTGAAACTCGAGTTATACATATATAGAAATTTAAAAATATTAAATATACATGTGGAAGGTGAAATTACATCCACAGGAAAAGCAAGATGATGCGCCCGATCCTTTGCACTCTGCAAAGAGAAACCAAATGTCAATGATCACTCTCGACCAAGGTTGGTTGGGAGGACCCTCCGATAATCAAATTAGTACAATGATCGACCATGGTATATAGTATAAAAAGAAAATATTTCTAGTATAGGTTTTGATTGTGTTTTAATTGGGTTAAATAGGACCCACTTACTTGTCTCTTATGTCTTATTTGCCTACCCTTTAATAGCTATTTTAGCTCAAACCTCATCCGTTGGATCTTGCTTTGATCGAAGGGTTCTGTCCAAACTTGGCTTTGGTCTGGCAACTTGCCAAGTATGCTTTGCCTATGATCGTTGGATCATTAGTGTATAGATGGTTTAGATGATATCGAATGTCAATGGCCAACTTGCCAAGCGTCACGTCCATAGGATTAAACTGATCGAATGATTTCGTTTCTCATTAGGCCCAGCCTACATTCTAGTCTTATATGTTCTATGCTCCACATCCTTAGATGAAAGTTTATCCTACGCCCCTCATTTACTTAGTAGGTTTGGTCTTCTAGAAGGCTAGATTTTATAATAACTTTGTCTCCCACGTGCCTTAATTAGCTAGCAAGTTGTTGTTAGTTGTCCTTTGTGCACTTCAAGGGATGCGTTTAGGCTTTTCATTTTCGGCTTAGGCTGTCGGGACTAGGCTAAGGACTGGGCTTATATTTTTTTCCTTCCACAATTGCCCCATTTGGTGGCCGATCTTGGGAGGTTGCAAAAGCATTTATACCTGTCATGACCTAAACCCGCCCCCTATAGGTTTAGCGTCGTAACCGGCCAATAATCCTTGGATTACATAAGGCCTCCGAACATATTAACATTCAATATGGGGCTGCAAAAGCAATATAGCAAACATTCATAGTCTATAGAGCTGTGTTGACACATGAGGGATAGAAATTTTCAAAATAAAACTTATATATACACCTATGACGTCATAGATATGGTAGCCTTCCGTCACTCATGTACACAAATGAAGTCAAAGGGGACTAGCCCAAAATACAGATACAATAATCAAAAGAAACTTGTTCATAATGTATCACATAAACTTGACTTGATTACAAAAGGAAACCTCCTCGGGGGTTACAACAGCTGGCTGACAAACAGAGACACCAGGCAGCAGCTTAGGCCTGGTCACTACTCACCTACATACAAAATATAAATAGTGAGCGGAAGCCTAGTGAATACTAACAGAGTAAAGGTTTTACTGAATGATGTCCATAGAGAAACAAAGTTTTTGTACGTAATCAGATGTCAAAGCAGAAATAGATTCGTATACATAATCATATTCGTTTTCACAGTTCATACATTTCGCATGATAGTACGTGGTACATCCATTAGCGTTAATAAATCTGATGACCCATGAAGGGACGGTAGTAAAGGCATTCCGATGATCCATAAAGGGACAGCTATAAGGCATTCCGATGACTTATGTGCACAAAGACATTTCTGATGACCCATTAAGGGACGTCAGTCATAATCAGTTCAGTTTAACGGTAATCGATGGTTATCGGTAATCAATCAGTCATTAATCGGTAAACAGTATGAGGGTTGTTACAGCCATGAATACATTTAAGAAACTTAGACAATCATTCATTCATACAAAACATAGCGTTTCAGAAAACTGATTATTTCATATCATCAAAAAATAATTAAAGTCAAACATAACTTTATAGAGTTATTACTCACTGATGGCTTTGATAGCAAAATAGAGAAAGTGAGTGATTCGGATAGTCTATGGCGCCTGACCTACACAACACATAATAGATACACATTGAAACACACGCTCAGAATATACTTAACTCATTACGTTTTGTTCTTAGTGTGTTTCTAAGTCTTATCCCCACTATTATGTCTTAATATTGGCTTAGGAATGCTTAGGATGTAATGAGGATGCTAAAATACATTTGAAAACACTTAGGTGTTGTTTAGGAAGTGAGTTGGCTTTTTGGCTTTTTAGTTTTTTTGGCTATTTTAGCCTGGGGCTAAAAAGCCTGGTTTGGGAAGGGCTTTAGGCTTTTTTGACTTTTTTGGCTTTTTTGTGAGAAAAAGAATGCAATGATTATAGGTTGGATGTGATGTTTTGTCTTATTAAGCTAAAAAGCCTATTTTGTTTTTTGTGGCTATTTTAGCCAAAAAAACCTCAAAATTATCTTCCCAAACGGAGCTTAAAAATATGCTGGAAACAGAGGTCTCGCTCGAGCGCAACTTCCTTCAATCGAGGGATGTCCAAACGTATGAGTGGTCGCTCAAGCGGTCTATAAACTTTGCCAAAGTACTGGTTGCTTGATTTTTCCGCTCAACGATCGGTCAACAGTCGCTCGAGCGTGAGATTGAAGTCCTCGCTCAAGCGCAACTCTTGTCACTCGAACGGTATGCAAAACATGTAAACTTTTGAAAGCATGCAATTTATACTCGAGCCAACTTTTGGTCGCTCGAGCGAAAGTACAAAAATGTGCATGGTCGCTTAAGCGTAGGTTCTATCACTCGAGCAGAGAGGCAAAATCTGGAATTTCCAGATTGCTCTTTTAAGTTCAAAACCCAAATTCAAAGCTACAAAACACATCTTTTTGGACCAAAAGCTTAAGAAAACATGTATAAACTTGTAAAACATTAAGAATTAAACATCATTTCATGAAATCAAGGCTCAAAAGCTTGCCAATTGTGCACACTTAAAGTTGAAATGTTGGAAACATAACATGCGAATAATTTCTTGACTTCAAAGCTTTCAAAACATGATGAAACAAGGTAAAATGGTATGAAACTTGATGAATTTCCAAAACCAAGCTATGATCAATGCATGCATGTGAGAATTCTTGAAAATCCAACTCGAAATGCAAGAGAATTTGCATGCATGTGTGGTAATCTTCTTAATTCTCCTTCCCTAGCTTAATTCTTGTTTTGAATTCCTCTTGAATTCATGTATTATGTCTCAATTACACAAGTAAAGGCTCAAATCCTTACCTCACTCTTGATTTAGGCTCTAGCTTGCTATATCTTTAAGCTTCCAAGCCAATGCCCTTAATTCTCTAGCAAATTCGTTCCAATCTCAAGTTTGATCTCACACCCCTCTTGGTCTCTTCTTCCTCTCTCTCACATTTGCTTGTTTGTGTAGGCTTAAAGATGTGATGAAGAAAAGAGATGAGTTGAGGCACATAGAAGCCTTAAATAAGTTTGATTAGAGAGTTTAATTAAAGCTAATCAAATGGACATTAATTATTCTAATTTAATCGTTCTAAATCGAATTTCAATTAAACCCACCATAAAAGTCTTAAAATCCCAAATAACATAAAAATCTAGTCACTTTCGTGATCGAATGCCAATAAGACCTTCAATTCGCAGAACAAAATAGAAACATGAACAGATCTTTCTACAATAGACAGATATGAACACAAATAATGCAACACACATGCAATTAATTCAGAATTTCATCTCAATTACTTATTAGGCATACTTAATCATGGATTATCCATTAATCATGGGTCGGGGTTATTACAATACTGATCAAATATTTCCAACATACCGCATGTAGGATTCCCAAGTCTTCTGACAAGCGTCTCTTCCCTTCCTGCGCTAGTGGGGTCATAACGATGACAACCGTCTCTTTTTGCACCATTTCTCTTCTGACACATTAAATGGGGAGGTGACTCTTCCTTTACATCATTTGCTTGCACTCCTTTCAAAGACTCTTTAGCGCGCTTATTCATATTTCAATCGTTTAAAGCTCTTGCCCTTATTTCATATAAGTCTCATGTCATCTTCGTTGTTCCTCTGTCGATTTTTGTTGTTATTTTTCTTTTTTCTTTTTCAAAAAAATGAATCACCATAAAAATTTATTTGATTTTGAAGAGAACCTCCATGAGTTTAGAACTCTCTATCGTATTCCAGATGACGTCATCGTTCGTTTGCTTACTGATGATGACAACAACGTTGTCGAGGGGTCTAAGGTACGGATACCTTTACCACTTATTGACATTGTTGAATGGGATGTTTATTTTCCCCTCCACCCCCATTTTGAGGGAGGTGCTTTGCTTTTATGGTGTTGCCTCTACTCAGCTTGTCCCCAATTTTTTTAGGAAGTGATAGGGGTAGTCACTTTGAATGAAATTCTGGGGATACATCTAGGGCTCTCGGAGATTAGATATTGCTATAACTTTGTCCCAACCTCCAAGGAAAGGTTAAAGTTTTATATCAAGACCAGAAACAAGAAACACTAGTTAGTTTAGATACTTCTTAACTCTGGCAAGGATAAACATAACATTATTGTGATCGTTGAGGGAAACTGGAAGTTTCCCCTTGGTGCTGATAGGGTATGGCACATACCCAAGGTCTTCAACCGACTAGGTTACAATCTGTTTTTCTTTTGTTTTTGTTTGGCAGATTTCGACAGTGATAATATCTTTCCTTGTGGATTTTCCATAATAACTTGTTATTCATTTTTTGTTCTGCAGATCCTACAGTTTTTGCTTATCACAGTGAGTGGGAAGGCCAGGTTAACATCTTACTCCTTCAGCAAGCCTAGGATTACAAAGGCCCTCTTGAGCAAAAAGGCCAAGGTCAGATGGCTCATATCCTCCTCTGTTACATGCCTTATTACGGCACGATTGTTGCCATTGAAGGCATCTCCCTTAAAGCCAATGGTGGGATTGATTTCTACCTGCTTCCTCATCTTGAAAAGGAGCTAAAGGTTGAAGAGGTCCCTGCTGTGGAGGAAGAACAAATCCGAGACGATCCATCAGATTCTGAAGCTACCATCTCTGAAGTTATGCCACCAAAGAATTTTCTGGACATCCTTGCTCATTGGAAGCGTCAAAAAGAGGGTGTCAACATCGACTACTTCTAAACAATCACCAATAATAGTTGTTGAGGATGCCCCTCTTGCCCTGCCAGTCCCGACCTTCCTCCTCCCAAATAAGCTCTAGTAAACATCCAGCCAAACAATTGACTGAGGGACATAAGAAGTACAGAGCTGACCTTTCTCTCACTCATGTTGTTGTATCTTCTCAAGAGATAGCTTTTGTCAGTTCCCCTGTTATTCTAACGCCTGCTTTGAAGGATCGATCGCTAGTCAGCACCGACTCTGCGATAAGCGATGCCGAACTAGCTGATGCCGTGGTCCACAATCTCATCCTCCCAATAGACGATGGTCAACTACGTGATCAGTCCGATGTGGCCATCTTCTCTCATGCCTTGTACTTTTCTTTGTTGGTAAGTGTTTTGTTCTTTGTTTTTTTTTTCATTCTTTTTTTTTTTAACTTGTTGCATTGCTAATACTTTATTTTTACAGGGTTTTTATTTTTCTCATAAGGCCATGCGCCGTCAACTCATCCGAGTTGCTAATAAGCTCAAATCCTCCAAATAAAGACAGGAAAAAAAGGTAAAGGAGATAGAGCTAAGGCTATCAGCTTCTGAAGATAGGGTAGTGGAGGCAGAGAAAAAACTTCAAACGATGGATACCGTGTTGAAGTCCTCTGCCGAAGAGATTGCCGCCTTAAAAGAAGAAAGACAGTAGCTTTCCACTGTTTTTGACACATTCAAGGCCAGTCATAAGGCAGCTATTAAAGCTGCAAATGAAAAGGGTATAGTAAGGCCACAACCAGTTATGGGCAGTAGTTCGTCAAGTTGGAGAACATTCTTTTTTAGGATGGATAGATGACTGCTCTTTGGGCTGCTAAGTTTCCAGAGGGACCCGAGCGGATGAATACCATTCCCTAACCCCGTCCTGAGGCCTTGGAGAACCCAGAAAGTGCTGACACTGGCAGAGATGATCCCCTTACTACCAACTAAAGAATTTAGCTTTTTCTCTTCCATTTTGTTTTTAGTGTGAAATTTTGAGAATTGGTTTTTGTACAAATGATATGGATTTTTTTTTTCTTTAATGTGAATTCCTTTGCTTTTCTATCCTCTATCTATCTGAATGTTGTTGTATCGTGGTAAAATCGTTTTCTTATTTAAGCAAGAGATTGGCGGTATTCTTACGGATGTACTATCCCTTGGATAGATTTTTATTTTTATTTTTTGTTTTTTTGTTATGTATTTTTAGGAAACCACCGTAGGTTTGTTCCTTACTCTAAGCAAGAGATCAACAACATCCCTGCTGATGTACTATCCCTTGGATAGATTTTTTATAGGAAACCATCATAGGCTTGTTACTTACTCTAACCAAAAGGTCGACAATATGCCTGTCAATGGTTCTTTATAGGAAAGCATCGTAGGTCTGCTCCTTCCTCTAAACAAGAGATCGGCAGCATCCTTGTCGATGTACTATCCCTTAGATCACAAGTTTGTTCCTTGCTCCAAGTAAGAGATCTGCGGCATCTTTGCCGATGTACTATCCATTTGATAGGTTTTTTTTTTTTATTTATAGGAAACCATCATAGGTTTTACTCTAAGTAAGAGATCAACAGCATCCTTTCCAATGTACTATCCCTTGAATAGGTTTTTTTTTTTTATAGGAAATCAATGTAGGTATGTTCCTTGCTCTAAGTAAGAGATCAACATCATCCCTACCGATGTACTATCCCTTAGATAGGTTTTTTTATAGGAAACCATTGTAGGTTTGTTCCTTACTCTAAGTAAGAAATTTGTAACATCCTTGCCAATGTACTATCCATTGGATAGGGTTTTTTTTTATTTTATAGAAAACCATCGTAAGTTTGTTCATTTCTCTAAGCAAGAGATTAATAGCATACTTGCCGATGTACTATCCCTTGGATAGGTTTTTCATAGAAAACCATCGTAAGTTTGTTCCTTGCTCTAAGCAAGAGATCAGCAGCATCCCTGCCAATGTACTATCCCTTTGATAGGTTTTACTTGCCGACTGCAGCATTAAGTTTAGGGTTTTGTGGGCTCTGGCTTTAATGCGCTTACATCAAGTAGGCACATGTCGTTCATTCCAAATGTTCATCAGTGTTTTGCATTAAATATGATGGTACGTTCTTCAAACGAAGCGACATGCACGTTTAAGTAGCATTGTTTCCCCTCCTCTTACACATATATGAGTTCAAATCATTGCTTCGATATTTGTGATCCTATTTGATAGCATTTCTCACCAAGACATCCATAGGAATCGACATCTGTGTTCTTGGGGTTTTCTGGTTTTGCCATTCAAAAGGTTTCCCTTAGCCTCTTGCTCATCATTCTCTGTCTGTAAGTTTTTCTTTTCTTTAAACACTCACTTTGTGACAATGGGAAAATACGCCTATTTTGTGAGTTCTTTTGAGGGACTAGAACACTTTCGAGCGACGCATGGCATTCCCATTAATGTTGCTCTCCAAGCTCCCCGTCCCAGTGGTATTCAAATGATAGATTTCCATGGATAGTGTAAGAGGGGCTAATTTGAGCCCACTAAATTATTTAGGCCCAATAGCCCAAGATTAGTGGGCCCGAATTTTTTGTCACGACAGAGCCTATGGATAAAGTTGATGACGCACTTCAATTTACAGAAAAAAATTGACAAGCAAAAATTTAATTCTTATTTCTGCTCAACACCAACTTCTTCAAGATTGTAAATGGGATGTTATCCTTAGATAACCTTTTAAATATCGATCTAGGTTTAAGGGATCTTCAATACAGTCTGATTTGTATATAATTTTGTTAAGGATTTATCTCGAAATTAGAAATTGAAGGCCTAAATAGTTTAAGAAGATGAAATTGATAAGTTGAATCAGTTTAATTTTGAATATTGAATCATATGAGAGCTTAATTAAATATTCGATTCAGTTTAGAAAAATTAAAATTTGATGAATTGGGATCGAACTAGAATTAATTAAGTTAATTTAGTTATAAGGATTAGGAATTATGATTATTTTGAATTAAATTTACTTATGAGGTGACTAATTTGAATGTGTAATTTATTAACAATAATTTTGGGTCTGACCAGAAATAGGAGCCTTAATGATTTGAAAAACCAAAATTGATAATGGCAATAAATTTAATTTAATATTTGGAGCCTTTTGGGAGTTTGATTGAAAATCTGATTTAGATTGATAAAATTAAATATGATTAATTAGTTCTCAATTGAAGATAATTAGACTAATTAAGTCATGTGGGAATTGATTTAATACTAAGTATGGTTAATTGTGATTTAATTAAGCTAACTGTGTATTCAAGAGTTAAGATAGTCCCACTTGTGTGTATGTTTTTGTGTTGGAGACTTTAAATCAAAAAGTGGGTCATTCTTATTAGACTTGTGTTCAGAAAATTGGGTGTAGGTGTACTGAGGAATTCTGTGTGGGTGTACTGAGAAATCTACGCGTGTATGTGTTTTTGTGTGTGTGTGTGTGCGCCTGCATGTGAGTATTGAGCTGGAGCTCAAAGGAATTGTGCAAGTGTGTGCACACAGGGAATGAAGAAGTGAAGTGTGTGTGTGTGTGTGTATTCTAATGAGTCAAGAGTTGGACTCATTTTGTATTGTACTGGAGTAAGCTTTAGAGAGAGAGAGAGAGAGAGAGAGAGAGAGCTCCATTCTAGAAAATGAAAGCTCAAGATTTGTAGAATTGAAGGAGGAACAAGAAGACTTAGAGGAAACCAACAAATAATTTCTAAAATTAAAGCTTAAGGTATGAGAATAATATTCAATTCATATAGAATCTTTGTCTTATAGATAAGATTAAGAGAGTTATAGAACCAATTCAATGGTTTTTGTAAGAAAAATGGGTTTTGAGCAAGAAATGGGTCACATGAATGTTCATGGAAGGTTTCATCTTTTTGCTTTGAATTTTTGAAGTTCTTGCATGTATGAAAGCTTTTAATTTACATATGATTTTAGAAAAATTCATGGCTCGCATGCCTAATTTCATGTTTTGAAAATCAAGAGAAAAATAATTTAAAATTCTTTACCTGCATAAATATTTGAATTAAGTTTTGCTAAAATTAATGAAACTTTGAGTAAATGATTTTTAAAAGGGTCATGTATTTGTGATTTTTGAAGTAAATTCATGTTTTGAACAACCCATGCATAACCCCAAATATTGAAATGGAATTTGAGAGCTCAAATATTAGTTTTGAAAACCCAGAAAATTTACAAACTGCTCGAGTGACCAATAGGTGGCTTGAGCGAATATTTTGAGCTTTCAAAACTTTTGTAGTGCTTACAAACTGATTGAGCGACCAATTGGTGGCTCGAGCAAACCTACCTTATGTTTGCTACTTGCTTGAGCGACCAAGTATTGGCTCAAGCGCACTTTCAACCCATCTAGTATTTTTGCAAACAATACAGTCTGCTTGAGCGACCAAGTGGGGCTCGAGCAGTTAGGCTATTTTCAGTATGTTTTGGAAAATCACACTTTATTCATATTTCACCTCTTCCCAAGCATTCGTAGGCATGATTTATGGCTCAATGAAGATTAATAAGCTAAGAACCAACATAAGTAATTAGTTATGAAACAAAGTAAGGGATTGGTTTATTAGATTAAGAAAGAATAAGTAAACTATGAATTCAGTTTACTTAGAAAGAAAAGAATAAGAGAAGTTATATGTGATCAAGAGAGTAATAATTGTGTTTTGGTATGTTCATTTGTGTGCTTTGTGTAGGTTGGACATTCGAGGAGTTATATTCAAGTCACGCCCACTGTGAGTAATATCTTTATAAGGATATGTTCGAAAAGTGTTTTGTAAATTGTTATATGAATCATGTTTATGAAATGTTATTTTATATAAATGAATGAATGTCCCTTTTTGGAATGTATTCGTGGCATCTATTAATAAGGCCCTCACCCGGGAAAAACAATACCGTGGCTCTTCATTAATAAGGCCCTCGCTTGGAGGAAACAATACCTTAGCCCTTCGTTAATATGGTCCTTGCTTGGGAGAAACAATACCAAGGCCCTTTGTTATTTAATTACAGAGATCTCTGATGTTGACCTTCATGGTCCCTTTGCTTGACCTTCATGGTCCCTTTGATTATGCCTTTGGGCCCTTCGTATTCGATTGGATGTACCACATATAATGTTTTAAAATTGAAATTCGATATGGAATATACGTTGTTTGATTTTGATATATGAGCCATTTGAAAATGTATGGATTCCGATATGATAAATGTTCACTTTGAAAATGATGTTGTATGATATTTGGAAATGCAAAATATGGCAAATGCTTTGTTTTGAAAATGATATGAAGATTTGTGTTTTGAAATTGTAAGACATGATTTTATATTATTAGGGATTTCATTCATTACCCTCTTTATTTTGGTATTACTCACTGGGCTTTAACTCACCTCTTTCCTTTATATATATGTAGGTGAGCAATCGGAGGATCAATTTAGAGTTGGCCTCGGAGTCCGCCCTTTGTCAAGCCACCCAAGATGCGCCTCCATGTCGAGGCTTTAGTTTTGCTTTGTCTCGAGTTTTGTATTTTGTTAAGTCTTATATGTATATATGTGTGAGATGTATAAGATATGTGTATATATATATTAAAAGTGTGTTTGAATGTTTTAAATATTTCAATTATCACGTATGCACAACTCAATGAACATTATTATTTTTGTTTTGTTTCTACTTCAAGCCCCGATACTAATCAATTATTTTTGAAATTTTGTCTTTGAGGCCTGATTATAGGCCGGTCATAGCCTAAACCTTTAGAGGCGAGTTTGGGTCGTGGCAGTGGTATCAGAGCACGAGTTTATATCTCACACACGTATCCATTGAGCATTAGAATGTCTAGAACGAATTTAAGTTGCATGCATCTAATTGGCAAGTGATAAGTTGTGCATTCAGGAATATGTATATGTGTTTGTGAAATAAGTTTAGTATTGAGACTAAGAATTAAGATCTATTATGGAATTTTGATGTTATGAGGAAATTGGAAATTTTGACTAGAACGTTAGCGAGTATAAGTATATTGATTTGTAAGAATACGAAACATTGGTGAAGTGAGTACAAGTATATTGATTTATCGAGACATGGTATCATAAGGAATTAGAATCTTTGGTAGAAGC